CCTACAGCTTGAGTAGTTTTTAAAACCAACTAACAGCAGGCAGAATTTCTTGTCTGTTCCCCTCATTCTCAAACATTCGGCTTTAAATTACTCATGAGATCCTTGCACTCTCCTTTACCTCCTGTGAATTCCTCACATCAGCTGGCAGTTCCCAAGCACCACCAAAGCCCTTCTTCAAAAGAAGCTGCAGAAAAAAGGAAAAAAAACCAAAAACAAAAACCCAAAGCAAAACCCCAACCCCCAACCCCCACCCCACCGAGCCAAAAACTGTTTTACTGCAACAAACTAGGAAAAGCTGACTTTGGTTCATTTCAGAGAAGGAAATATTCTGGGACATCCAACTTACCTGTTGTCTCTGCAACTTGACTTCTTTGCGAAGTTGCTCAACTTCCATCCTCAGCTTTTCCTTTTCTGGCAAATCTTCGATGTGAAGGGCCGGCATTTTCGCCCCAGACTGGGCGCAAGGACAGCTGTGGAAGTGGGGCGGCTGAAGTGCCGCAAACCAGGGCGCGTCCCGAACTAACTACGTTGCCTGCGCACCCGGCCAGCGCAGGAGGTGACAGCCTCCCCCGGCGCCCCGACGACTTCCCCTCCCGCCAGCCCTGCCTAGCGTCCCAGGATCTTAAAACCCCTGCTCTTTTCTCAGATCTCCACAACCCCAGGAGGCCTGCCCCCGGGAGCCCGGGGAGGGTTGAGTTTGTGAGGGGGCCCAAGGACACAGAGAGGCTGCGCGCTGCGCTGTGCGGTCTCCCGCGGGGATGCTGGCCGGGCCCTCCCCGGCTCCCGACCCTGCCACGCCCGCGGGAGACCGGCCTGGGCTGGGGCCAAAGGGTTGGAGTTGAGTGAGCCCACTTTCCTGGAGAAACAACAAAAGTTTTACTTTTTGTTCCATTTTTTTCCCCCCCAAGTCACATCCGGGTTTTGTTTGTGAAGCAAGAAAAGGAGGACACTAGCCGGCAGGAAATAACTGCCCTTCACTTCTCCAAGAGTTTCAAAAATATACAGCATGTAACTTTCCTCCAGCTACATACATGTTTACTGTGGGAAATGTGGACGCTTAAGAAAAGGCCCAAGAGGAAAATGAAACTGAGCTGTAATCTCAGAAACGCCCATCACATCTGTTGATGCATACACACCCAGTCTGTTAAATGCCTGACGCGGATTAACAAATTTTGGAATAAAAAAGGCATCGGGATGTGAATATTGTTTATAACTCGCACGGCCATTTTCTGACATTAATAAATTGTCATCCTCAACAGCAGAGTTTTATTCTTTCTTCAGGGGAATGTTTTGTAATGTTCGAAGTATAAGCGGATGATCCTAGAAAAGGCAGAAGCAGAAATCTTGAAGTTCTTACCAGAAAGTATTTCTCCATTCCCCATCTGTCAAGGTTTGGGTGACACTTGACACCGAGGGTTTTGAATTCCTGGCTCAAGCATCTTCCTGGATGTTTGCAGTGGATCGGCTTAGTATTGGTTACTCCACTTTCTGGAAAGCAACATGCATCTAGCTGCTACTTTGTGAAGCCAGGAACAATGTCTGATGTGACAAACGTTTGCATGCAATACAAGGTTTCCCTTTGACTATCTAAAACCTTGTTAATGATGCTCAAAAGGCTAGAAGAAAAATAAAGCATGTGGGAAGAAAAAATAAAGTATCCCAAGCAGTCAGATACATATTCCTTTCTCCCCAGAGATTACCTCCTGCCTATAGAGTCAAATTCAAGTTGAGTAAAGGCAGTAACTGAATATTTCTGGGTACTCAGCCTTAGACACCATAGCCATTCCCTGTTTTGTAAGCAGAGGTTTTTGTTTGCTCATAATTCCTCACCAGGCTCCACCCACTTCTCCTCAATAAATATATTAGAATGAAAAGAACAATGAGCCCCTTGATGAGTACTCATGGGTTGCAGTCCCTGTTCTGCCACTGGCCATCACTAGAAAAGTCACTTATTTCTTCCTGGGTTTTGGTTTTCTAGTTTGTGAGATATGTCATGGGGTAGGGGAGGGGTGAGTTAGCTAAGGTGAATTTCATTTCTAATTGTATTTATGTATCTACATCTGACACATCACTTTCACAAAGAAAAATATTTAGGAGCTTCATTTTCTGTATTTGAAATACCACACATTCCAGGATCTCCCAGGCTCAAAAAACTTGGATCAGCTGCAGGAGTTTTCCCTGTTAGCAAGCAGTGAGCCAAGACAAAAAGCTCACATCTGTTTCCAGAACTGATTTTTTTTTTTAATTTCCTCATTGCTTAAATTTAAAAGGTTGGTTAAAACCAGCTTAAATAAGTTAGTGAAAGTAAGTTAATGTGGCCTGAATTAAATAAGTTCAGCACCCAAATTAAATAAGTTGGTTAAGTAAATTAATGTTCGTCTGTTCCAAATCATAAGCATAGAGTTATTTTGGCCTTGAAATTTCTTCCCTGTGAAATCATCTAGTTGCATGCAGTGATATTTATAAATCCATAATGGTTCTCTAAGTCGCTCTTTAACTTCTTCCACAGTATTATGAGACTTAAATTAGAAATGAAATACATATAATTAAAAACATTTATTCTTATCAAATAATTCACATGCTAATAATATCATATTAAGTAAATTGATTAAACCGAGTTGGGAAATGCTGACATCTCATGATCACATGGCACTGAAAAACATTTTGCTGTTGTTTGGTTTTAAATGGTAAAATGATGGGTACTTTTTTCTTTAAAAAACAAAAAACCAAAATACAAGAGTATGTAGCTCCCTATTCCTAAGCACTACTTTACCTCCTAGGGGGCAACCATGGTAAGCAATTTCTCGTGTATTCTCAAAGACATATTTCATCAGCAAAACACTTTGGATAAACAAATGTTAAAATCCATTATTAGTTGTATCCGATTGTGTTAACTTTTTACTTATATTGTACATATTACCTCTAATAGAAGTTACTTTACAAAATAGTATGTGTAGAAACCATTCTGCAGTGAAGATGACAGATGTAATCAGAAATGAACCTTTATTAGCCCACTGTCTCTTGACAAATGTTTTAAAGAATCTGCTAAATTAAATAAATAAAATTAACCATGTGGTTATTTTCACTTTTAAAGTATAAAAGAACAAAGACTATGACATATTTACCTTGGCATGTAAAGAAACGGAAAGCTCTTTGACTATTTTTCTAATGTATTAAGTATGCTGTTAAAAATCCATGTAAAGAAAAGTCTATAAGCAAATGTTGAGGTTAATTTTATTGGAGTTGATTTAATACAACATGAGCTCAAAAAAGCAGGGTGCTGGTTTTATTTTATCTTGTGATTTTTTTCAAGACATAGATCCCTTCTGCCTCTGTTCTGTAGTATAAATAAAACTAGGTTACCTCCCAAATTCTGCTCTTCTAAAATTTATAAAGTAAATGGTGACTGTTTAGGCCATGAAAATGATTGTTTCTTTAAGGGAAATATTTAACCCACATTTGATGCACTCGGTTCATTTGATATTGGTTCAATTTATTATAAGATTCCTTTTCCAGATAAAAATAATAGGAAATCACAAGATGACCAGGTCTGATGTTCCAATTTTCATTAACAATTACTTACAATTCATCGTATCAAAATGATTTACCAATTCTGTCCATATAAGAGTTTAATTTCTACTGCATATAATTGGTCTTTTTCATTACTCAGTTTACTGTCTTCCTTGTGGCAATACATTCTTTTAAGAATTTAGGAAGTTTGAAATTAGCCTTGTTTTGAAATTGGGCTAAAATCAAATCAATCTAAATTAAAATAACAGTGAGCGTTTTTTTTTTTTTTTTCTTGCTAAAGTTTAAACTCACGTATATGTACAATGGTGGCCCCGGAATAACAACTTCTGAAAAAAACCCAGAGTCACTGACTGCCATTTGTAGCTGTGTAGGCTGAGGGACATTCATGATTTTATTACCTTCTTCCTGGACCATCTTTCCTATAATTTTTATCTTATTCAAATTTCTGCTGACAATCTGTATTTTTAAGCAACAGGAATTTTACCCTATGGTTGATTTAATCATTAGTTAAGCCAATAAGAATTCTGAGTTACCCAATATAAAAAATACCTCCCTTGCCTGCTCTTAATTGAACACTTCTTAAGTTAATTAAATTGTAGAGACAATTTATTAATTGATATGGCAGTTTCAAAGATGAACAGTCTCTGACTTGGGAAATTTACAGTATAGCATTGATACTAAGACAACCATAAAAATTAGAGTAAGAGAAAGCAAAGTAATGTTAAATGACTTAAGAGATATACGCTGGGAACGGAATGAGAGACTGAGATAGTTTTTAGTCAGCCTCAGAAGAGGGGTAGGATTTCAAAAGGCTGAAATGAGATGGAGTGGAGGGACATTTCGGGTGGAGAGCTCAGTATGACTAAATCCAGGTGAGAAAATGAGGTGGCACGTCAGGGATTATTTAATAGTTAAGTCTGTTGACTACAGGAAGTCTATAAAGGTTTTATAATAATAGAAGACATTTATTACTTTTTTTTCTATATGTTTATCTCCTATCTAAATGATTTTATATAGTCACATAAGGATCCACCTTAATCCATTTTACAAAGTTCAAGTGTTGAAATTACTTATCTGAAGGTCTCAGCTATAAAGTGGATGAGTCAGGGTTTTAATGTAGCATCTTCTGGCTCCCAAATCTATTTCCAGTTGTGAGATGAAAGGTAGAGATGTTGTTAGGACTATACATGTTACTAAATGCCAAAGCCAAGACTTCATATGTTTTTAATCAGAAAAAAAAAGATATATTGAACACTTAATAAACATTAAATGGCACATGGAAAAAGCTCCTAGAGACAGACAACAATTAAACAAACAAATAGATAAAATATATAGGATGCTAGAAGGTGGTGGGTATTATGGAGGAAAATTAGAGTGGGAAAGGGAGATAGGGAGTGCTGGGGGTAAGGGTGGAGAGGGTTTTTGTAATTTTACACAGGGGAAAAAAGCTTCTCCTGAGGAGAAAAGACTCCTGTAGTTTATCTTGGAATCCCTTAATACACAAAGCATGTTTTATAATAGGGAAGAATCTTTTGTATTCTATTACAAGTTAATCACTAAAGGGATATTGCCTATAAGCTTAAATTATACATAATGGCCCATATTTGGGAACCCTGTCTCCTAGGTAATATGCATTTAGTTAAAATACCTTTGTTTAGCTCACAGGAAACATTCCGACCAGGCCCACCTGTGAACGATGGCAGGGAGGAAGAAATGAATACATCCCCTCCAGAGGCTGATGGGAACCAGGAAAGGTTTGACTTTACTCCCTCCCCTTTTAGTATAAAAGAAGCCAGAATTCTAACTCAGGCAAGATGGTTCTTTGGGACACAGGCCCACCATCTTTTCTAGTTTGCTGGCTTTCTGAATAGAGTTGTTTATTGCTTTCTGAATAGAGTTGTTTCCCGAAGAACTCATCTCTGGATTATTGGCCTGTCGTGCGGCAAGCAGTATGCACTTAGACTCAGTAACAGTTTGATATGTGTTGGAGTGTGTTGCTAGCGATTCATCCAGAGATCCAGAATCTGGCCCTGAGAAATTTGCCAATTCATTTCTCTGATCCTCGATTTTCTCCACTCCAAGATGAAGGGGTTGGACAAGTGTCAATAGA